AATTGATTTTGATAATATCTGCTTACAAAAATTATTTAAGTAGATAGTTAAATATGAAAGCCAAATGCCTCTTATTTTCATGTTTCGTATGCTGTTGATTTCTGGGAAGGTATTACAGAAATACAAGAAGGACAATTTGGTCCAGGGATAAATGCTATAAAAGTGTATCTAGCTTTGCCAGTCAGTAAACTGAAGATAGCTATTTTAGATCTGCCTAATTTATTTATTAACAAAAAATACCATATTTACTGCACATTGTTTTGAAAAAAATAACAGCATTAGTTACATAAAGCTACATGCATTCATTTTGTGTTTAAGCTACTACTTGAAAAGAAATATATGAAAAGATGTATAGAAACCATGAAATGAAATCATACTAGTCTGTAAAAATCATAGTTTTATTTTTTCTTACTTTTCCAATAAATTGTGTCCTTGTGGACAAGTTGAATCTGGATGAATTTAGGTCCACTTCTTTCAAATGTATCTTTTCATCAAGCAAGGTATCTTTTCAAAACATATACAATATATACCATATCCATTATGAAGCAAAGATTTTAAAAATAATTTTTCCATTTAGTGTGTACTTAAAAAAGGTGTAATCCTTATTTAAGAGCCAACCGATGTAAAACATTCCATGGTTTAAAGTTAATGCAGTAGATTTTGGGAGAGATTTTTTTATTAATTTGAAAATTTCTCTATTTGGGGATTACATTAATGGACAGCCTTGAAAATTGTATATTTGTAATGATGAACATTCCTAAAACTGAAAAGTATGGAATCCACTTTTGGTGGAAGACCTGAAAGAAATCTGGATTTCCTTCATAGCCAAGACCTTTTAAAAAAATGTCATCTAAGGGTTTTTTATTCCATTGGCATTATAACCAGATAATGGTGTAGAATTTATTTATTTATCATACTTATATGCCCCCCTCAATCTCCTGAACATGATCCTGGGCAACATACAATAAGAAACAGTCACAATATTGAAAATTATTAATATTAACATATATTTAAATTTCATAATTAAAACATTTAATTGCTAGAAAAGATTATTAAATGTTACAAGCAATGTAGCTACCTCATTAAATCACCACTTCCTTGAGATCCCCAAGCCTATCAACACAGTCAAGCTTTGGGGGACTTCTGCAAGGACATTGTGGATGGAGCCAATCTCACTCCCCGGGTAGGACGGACATAATATTCTATAGAGTGAAAATCATTTGGTTCATTGTCCTCAAACTTAGGTCTTTGGGAAAATACATGCTTCAGATATAGTCCCAATCCCTTAATAATCTGTAGCTGCCCAGAGTTGCCTTATAGAGGAGATGGGCAGCATAAAAATTTATCTATATATAAAAACGTGTATGTGTGCGTGTATGTGTTCCAGCATAACTCTGGAACACCTCAAGCAATTTCAACCAAGCTTGGTACACAGATGACTTACCCTCTGGAAACAAATACTGTAGGGTAAGACACCCCTAACACCCCTCTGGGTGTTTGTGCCTTAAAATGGCTTCTGTACAGCACAGTGGACTTTCCATGGTAATGGCTTCACAGTACTCCACAAAGGGACTCCCTCTGAGCCCTCCAAGGAAACATCAGGCGATTGGCCAAGTGCCAGAGTAGACAAACTCCTGAGGAGAGGAATACAAGACTTGTGACGCTGCGTGAGAGATAGTAAAACAGTGTGAGTCCCAACTACAAGATTTTCCTATCTAATACAGGATTGGGATAAATAAATACCTGGGCAACGCCGGGTTATCGGCTACTGTGTATAACTCTGGAACGCCTTGAGCAATTTCAGCCAAACGTACACAAATGACTTGCCCTCTGGAAACAAATACTGTAGAGGTAAGATACCCCAACACCTCTCGATGTGCGTGTGTGTGTGAGAGAGAGAGAGAGAGAGTGAGTGAGTGTGTCTTCCAATACAGCAGCATGAGGCCCAACTAAAGGATAAGAGAGGGAGCTACATCTAGAGTTTCAGAGACAGTACAACAGCGTCAGGCCCAACTACTATAGATATAATTCATACGGGATTGGGATAAATAAATACCCAGGCAACACCGGGTTATCAGCTAGTAATAAATAAAATTGAAAATATGTTGATATGTAAGATTACAATAATTACCTTTGTATAAATAAGCAATAATCAGAAGGCAAAGCCAAGTCCATCTCACTTTCAGCTCTGTGATAACTAATGGTTCCTTTGTGAACTTTTTGAAAATAATACTGCATCACACAGGACAAAATTGATGCTCAATGTAAAACAAGCAAACAAACAAAAACGACTATGGTCACTGGGTCCAGGAATATGATGTACTACTGTATAAATTCTTAGGGCCTAAATTAGCTTATATAAATTAACCCTGATGACTTCAGAAAGAGTTTTGAAACCTGATTATCCCCCTGGGCTATCCCAGGAAGAGCACAGCTCCGGGTGTGGCATTCTACCAGTTCTATAGAACCGGTTGTTATGATTCTGCAGTTTGGAGAACTGGCAAATCGTGCCTCTTGCTGGCCCAGCCACTCTCCGCCCTCCCCTCCCCTCCCAGTCAGTCCTTATCGTGCATATGTGACATCACACGCATGAATTGCTGACTGCGTTCTCCCCGCCCAGTCACTCAAGGTATTTATTTCTTTTCCCCACTCCCGACGATCAGCTGTTCTGATGATCAGCTGTGCTGGGATCCCCCTTGCTGTCTTACTGCTTCACCCAGGAGGCTTCCCTGAGGCCCAGGAGGCAAAAAGGGGAATGGGGCACGGCGGGGGTGCTGCTGCACCTCACTGCATTTTTTGCCTTCCTGGGCCCCAGGGAAACTTCCCGGGAGCAAAAACGCACCCCCCCAGGAGGCTTCCCTGAGGCCCAGAAGGCAAAAAAAAAGGGTTTTGCAAAAAAGCCACACCCACCTAGTCACATGGCCACGCCCACATAATCGGTTGTTAAAAAATTTAAATCCCACCCCTGCTCAGCTCCATAGTGAGGGAAGTATAAATATGAGCCAGGTCACCTATTATGATTACCAATTGCTTTTTTTTTAAAAAATTGCTTTTTATTGTAAGCCACCTAGAGTTGAGAGCAGAATCTTCATCAGGTTTCTGATCGTATTTGGTTTGAATCATCAAACAATAATGCTCCCCTTGCATTATTATGCTTATTCAGGTCCAAATTTGACCTTTTTAAACATTGGCTAAATTATGCATTTTCGTAATGAAAAAAAAACCTCCTGCAAATAGGGACTTCTAAGGAAGAAATGGCAAACTGAAGACAGAGCTGACCCAACCATGGCAGAATGAAGAACTAACAAGTAGGCTCTCTCTTCATAATTCCTCTGTGGACAAAGAGAAGACCCAGAAGTGCTCCATACAGTTGCTCCTTGTGAAGAGAATGTAAGGCGGTAGTGTCTAGTGGGTTTTGAGCTCTGGCAATGAAAGAATAGCCAACTCTCAAACCAAGTTGGTGCTTTCCAAATGACCCTGGGTTCACATGCTTACTTTTCTAACCACTTTTTAGAAATTGGTTGTTAACTAAGCTATTAGGAACCTTTGGATCGACACGTTTTACAGCACTAGGTTTCTTACCAAAAGACATTTTAAATCCAAGTTTAAGGACTTAATTTTTTTTAAAGAAAATTCTCTTGAAATAAACAGCAAAAAGTGATTAGCATTATGATTTTAGATTTGAAATAAAGATTTTTCAATTAATTAGAAGAATCCTTCCTGTGGGAAAATCCTTTTGTTTTGAATTATCTTGAAAAGAAACATGATATGATGAGACTTTGAACTGAGACACTAGAGGGAACTTGAAAAAAGATTACACATTTGACTTACTAATAAACTATTTTAATCTTGGACATACTGAAAGGTATTTTTGAACAATGGACCCAGAAATTAATATTAACAGTATCTGCCTTTATAAATATCAAGCCCTATCGAATTCTGTACCTGTCAATAGTGGTGTCCCCCAAAGCAGTGTTCTAGGACCAACTCTCTTCATACTCTACATAAATGACCTCTGTGATCATATTAAGAGCAACTGCGTTCTTTTCACTGATGATATAAAGCTGTTCAATACCACAGACAATACTGCTACCCTTCAAAAAGACCTTGACTATGTATCAGAATGGTCAAACAAATGGCAACTTCAAATCTCAACAAATAAATGCTCTGTCTTATATATTGGCAAAAAAAATCAGAAAATAAAATACAAGCTGAATAGTCAAGACCTTGCTGATGATCCAACCTCTCTAAAGGACCTTGGAATACTTATCTCTAATGATCTAAGTGCTAGAACAAACTGTAACTACATAGCCAAAAAGGCATTAAGAGTTGTTAACCTAATCCTACGTAGCTTTTTCTCTGGTAATATCACACTAAACTAAAGCATACAAAACATTTGCTAGACCAATACTCGAATACAGCTCATCAGTGTGGAACCCACATTACGTATCTCATATTAGCAGAGTTGAGAAAGAGAATGGTTTAGCAACCATTCAAAGTTATTAACAGCACTGAAAAAAAGTGACTTACAACCGGTCTTCGCATTTACGACCATCTAAAGATTTGGGAAACACTAAAAAGGAAGACGGCATCTATTGCGAAGTTTGTTTGTTTGTTTTAAATCGTACTGGAACAGAATAAAAAGTGCTCTTACTGTTCATAAACACTGGTGAAATCCCAAAGGAGGGGCAGCCACAAATAATTCTGGATACCTCGTAATCCTGTGAAATATTTCACATCTGTCTACGCGGGGTGGGGGGTCTAAGATCTATCCTCAAAGAACAAGGAATTCGGTTGCATGTCGAGTTGGGGATTAGCCACGGGTAATCCAACCAAATTTTTGGAAAGGGCCGGGGGGGGGGGGGGTAAAACCAGGTGAGACTAAAGCTACCTTTCCGGCGAGCATGCAACCCCCACCCTCCACGTCCCGTCGACCTTTGTTTCTTGAGACGCATTCCCCGAGCGCCAACAGGGCGCTCTACCCTTCCGTGCTCTATGATGAGCTGGAGGTGTCATGGCGGCCGTTGAGGTGGCAGCTGGATCTGGAGGCCTTACAGCTGATTGAACAACCCCGGCCGGGACGGCTGGCCGGTAGAAATCCTACGATAAGAGCCTTTTTAAGACCCCAAAAAGTCACCCGGCAGCTCCTTGAAACGGCTAAACCGAGGGACGGACCGGACTTGGGTGGGGGAAAGCGGCGTCGGAGACCCCAGCTGATTGTTACTCTCTTTCCCCGAGGACTGGGTTGAGCCTTGACTGGGATGTCGTCGTGGCTGGGGGGCCTCGGTGCGGGTTTCGGCCAGTCCCTGGTGGGGCAGGTCGGCGGCAGCTTGTCGACACTGACCGGACAGATCTCCAGCTTCACCAAGGATATGCTGTTAGAAGGGACAGAAGAGGTGGGAGGTAAGAAAAGGCGACGATGTGGGTGGGGTGAGGGTTAGGATCAAGCGGCAAAGACCCATAAGGCCAGGATATGACAGGTTAGAGGTTTTCAGACTGGGGACGGGGATTCTTCCCCCCAAAATTCTCCAATGAGGTTGTGGAGGTATTTTCTGTAAATATTAACCTGTGTCCTGCAGGTGGAGAATGGCGGCATATGTTTCCCTCATGTGGGAAAAACAAGGAAGAGATCTTGGACCAGGTACTTCTGAAAGAGAGGAAGGCAGGTTTTTTTTTTAATGTAGGAAATTTTCTTTTTAATTCACCCTTTCTGTCTTCTGTCCCTTAAACAATAACTCTGAATGTTGCAAACAAACAAGCAAAAGAATAGCTCCTACCTGGTATACTACAAAGAACTTGGGACTGCAACTTTCATTATTCATTTAAAATATTTATATACTGTAGCCACTTGACTTATATCAAACCCTGGGTGTCACCCGATCAACAATTAAAACAGCATAATACATATATGAATTAAAACCATAAATCCTCTCATTCACCCCAGCATATCCCAGCAGTTGGTTGTAGGTACTTTAGGGAAGGCTAGGAAAGTAGAGACTGCCATGGAAAAGGCATACTTCCTAAACCCATAAGATGGCAATATTCAAGGGAAGGGACTAGGAACATGCCCACCCTATCTAGTCTGGTAGGGAGTGGCAGTCCTGCAGATAACCTGATCTTGTGCTATATACGCTTTTAAAGGTAACAAGCAGCATCTTGACTTGCATCTGGAAGGAAACTGGGAGTCATTGCAGCTCAAACAACAGAGGACTCATATGGGTACACCTAGGGACACCGATCACTGCACGCACCATCATTTTCTAGACCAGGTGTAGCTTCTGGGTAGCCACGTGTACAGCATGTTGTAGCAATCCATATGGGAAATAGCCAAGGCCTCACAGTCCAGGAAAAGATGCAGTTGGCACACCAGATGAATCTGTATAAAGACAACCTCCCCCCCACCAACATGGTTGCCACCTGCTTCTTGAGCAGAAGTGGTGGTTTTAGAAGGCCCCCCAAATTGTGTACCCAAGTCAATGCCACTTCATTCAGAGTCAGAGATGAAATATCATCTGGGCCTGGGGGTCAAAAATCCAGGGCCATTTTGTCTTGCCGGGGTTGAGCTAAGGCTAGCTCCTACCCATCCAGACCCATATAGCCTGCAGGCACTCAACCAGCACCTACATACCAACTGGAGGATTACTGCCCTAATATATCTGAAAATGTCGGATTAGGAAAGACTACCTTTAAAAAAAAAACAGATGGATACAGAGCTCAAGGATCATAGAATCTTGGGTACTTGCACTATAAATTGAGGGCTTTTTTTGGTAAGATATTTTATTCTCTATCTTAGGATCCAAAGAAGAGGCTATAGATGTATGAGGTGGTAAATTATCCCAAAGTAATTTCTTGAAACTAATTTTTTTTAAAATAACATTCGTACTAAAGGCTTTTATAGCTTCATGTACTAAAATATCCATTTGATCTGAACTAAGAAATAAGTATTAGTGCAGCTGATCAAAATATTTAAGATGTCTTCAGGCTTGTCCTTTAAATCCTTATTATGAGTAATTCTGTTACAATAAGCATGTCTTATGAGAGGAAGGATAGCAACATACTATAGAGGAAGAAGATAGTATTGGACAAAATATGAGAAATGTATCAAAAGGCTCTTTAGATTGTAATTTTCCATAAATTATGTCACAAAGCAGTTTTAGAGAATTACTAACTGTAATAATTTTGATTCAAATATACAGAGAGTTGCTTGAATAAAGAGATTGACAAATTTAAATTAAACCCGGGGTGGGTGAGCTTCCAGGAGATAATTTAATTGCAAATGATGCAAAGATCGAAGCAATGCATTGTCTTCATTTAGAAGTGATGGCAAGCTGTATAATAACAGATGGGATAGAAGAGAGAGAAAGTGCCAAAGTCCAAGACTTGTATTATAAGTATTATTACAGTATTACATTCACACAAGACAACAGCATTCCATAATTCCTATACAGATTAGTGTTTTCTTCCATATGGATTACTTTCTTTTAAGAAAAGCTGCTAATTAATATACACAGTATACAGGTTATAGAATAGATTATATTCTCCATTTTAGGATCTAAAGAAAAGGTAATAGGTATACAAGATAGTAAATTATTGCAAAGTAATTTCTTGAAACTAAAAAAATAATAGTTTCTTTCTGTACCTCATTATTTGCACAGTACTCAAATTAATATCCATCTTTCACATCCAAGGAATGTCATTGCATGATTCTAATCTTTATAGATAATGATATGTTATAGCATCTATCTTTTCCAAAGTTTATTTGGAAAATATAATCAGATGCTATATATTTCATTTATACCCCGCTAAGTGCTAGCTTGTAGTATATTCCTTGATTGATAGTTCCTTTACTGTACTTTATCCTGTAAAAATATCCACTTTTTCTGTGTCTTCATTGTCAGTTCTAAGGCTGTTTACTGAACCTATTGACATTACTTTCATCTTGTTAATTAATCACAGTCCTATTTTTTCACTATTTTATTACTGGATCTTGCAAATAATTTGCATGTTAATAATAGTAATTATTAAACTTGTATGCCGCCCAACTCTCAATGACTGGGTGGCTTTGCAATTATCTAAATTATGTTAACCTCATGGGGCAGATTATTCTTCAGTTTTAAAGTGATGCTCATCATTTCCAATTTCTCTCCCTTCAATATATTGTATACAGGTAGTCCTCACCATATGACCAATATTGGCGCCAGAACATTTGTTGTTAAGCAGGACGGTCATTAAGTCAGGCATCACATGATTACATCTGATTTTATAAACATTTTTGCCATGGTCACTAAGCAAGACATCACATGACTGTGACTTACAACCTCCTGGCAATTTCCCTGTTGACTTTTCTTGTTAGAAACCAGCTGGGAAGTTTGCAAATGGTGATCATGTGACCTTGGGACATTGCAAGCATCATAAATACCTTCTGCATTTTAAGCATCCAAATGACGTTCAGGTGACCACAACTATGCTGTGATGGTCTTAAATGCAAGGATTGGTCATAAGTCACTTTTTTTTAGTGCTGTTGTAACTTTGAACAGTCACTAAATGAATGGTCCTGAGACAAGGACTCAGAATGTATTCAGAATATTATTTATTCAAGCTATAGTCAGAATATAGCTTGAATAAATAAGGAGAGAGTATGCAGTCTTTATTATTACTTTACCACTTTACCAAACTAGAGCCAGTCTGTTTTGCCATATTCTATTTGGCTTGTGGCTATCTATCTTACACATAAATTTGGCATGAGGACAGTATATTATTCTAGGATTTCCTTTTCTTAAGGACATTTTCAGAGCTGATGCAACTCAAAGCCTTTGTGTAGTAAGTGAAGCATATTTTGACTTGGGGGATTTTTGGCTTTCTCATTTATCCAGCAGGCCTTGGCAATAATGTATCTTCTTCCTCTGTCTAAAACCAGTTTGAATGTCTAATATTTTCCTTACACAGAGGGTTCAAATATAAATTGGATGAACCTAAGTATTATATTTCTTTAGCATGTGACATTGTGAATATTATGCAATAATTTGTACAGTCTGTTAGATCTCAGTTCTTTGCTATTGTATGTAACCTGGTCTCTTCCAATTTTTGGCCACTGTGGCTTTGCCAACTAAATGCCCAATTTTCATTAGTCCAGATAAACAGTATCCAGATGCACCTGGAATTGTGAAGCCACTAAACTCTTGGTTGCTTTTGTGAAATGGGATGCTTTAAACACACTGGAGGGCCGTGAGAAAATTTTGGTGGGCCGCAGAGAAATCTCACCCCCAGAGCACCCCCTCAAAGCAATTAATCCAGGCTGTGCAGAAACACAAGGCTGCGCCGCCCACATGGTCCAAGGGAACCCTCTCTGACCACTCACTCCTTACCTGGAAAACTTGCCTGCTAAATTGCTATTTTTCCTTTTTCTGACCCTCAGGTGTTCTGCTGTGCTGGGAGATTTAGATTAGCTAGGAAGCAGGAAATGGTTGGATTTCTTGCTTTCTAGCTAGTCTTTAGATCTTCGGCTCTGCTTTTAAGCACAGCCGAACCTCCCTTAGGAGTGAAGATTCTATGATTCAATGCAGACTCACGGCAAACAAATTTGAGAGACTGAGCTAGCCGATGGCAGATAGATCACTGAATGATTCTGTGAGCAACTCAATCTACCTGCCTGCTTTGCCTGATTTTGGGTAAAAGTTGCTCTTTTTTTATAAAAAATTCAATATTTACATACATGGTGTGTTGTGAGTTAATCTTGTGAGTTTGCTAGCAAATTTTATGAGTTTGCAAGCAAATTTTATGTGACAGACTGAGCTAGCTGATGGCAGGTAGATAGATCTCTGAATGAATCTGTGATTCTGTGAGCAACTCAATCTGCCTGCCTGCTTTGCCTGATTTTGGGTAAAAGTTGCTCTTTTTTTATACAAAATTCAATATTTATATAAATATTTATAATATTTACATACAAGCCATGCCCAGCCAGTCACATGACCACCAAGCCACACCCACAAATTAGGCCACACCCACAGAACAAGTTAGTGGTCCCTGGGATTTAAAATTATGAGTTTGGTGGTCCCTGAGGTCCAAAAGGTTGGCGACCCCTGCTTTAAACTGACTTATAATTGCTCAGTCTTCTGATGTAAGGAAATGTTTCTTCAAGAGTAGACTTATAACTTGCTTTTAAAAAACAGGATGGAATATACCTTACCTCATCCAAAGGAGATATAGATCATCTCCCTTAATTTTGGGTTGAGTCTTTCCTGACTGACTTAGTCATTCAATCATACAGTTAGAAGGAGCCATTTAGGCTAATGAGTGTAACATCTGTTCAATGTAGGAATATAGATGGCTTGCAGTCTAGCCTTCTGTTGAACAAAGAGAGCAAAAGGAAGAGGAGCTTGTGAAAGAGGAGCCTGGCACTTCATTGAGTATTTGGTTCCACTGCCACACTGTTCTTACTGTTAAACTGGATTTTTTTAATAATATCTAGTAAAGTTTCTGTGTTGGAACTTTGGAATAAGAATTCTTGACCTTATGTATGACATCGTTGGGATTTGAATAATGCTATTGTATTCCCCCATTTGGATATATTTTTCTAGATTAAACTTGCTCATCTCTTTTAATGCCTTTTCATAGGACTTAGTTTCTAGTCCCCTAATCATTCTTATTGATTGGTCTGAACCTATTATAATTTTTTCTGATTTCTGTTCAAAGAGTGCAGGACTCAAGTGTGGGAATCTGATGAAAGAAATATACAGTTGAATAACTACTTATTGTGAGTTCCACAATTATATTTGTTTTGGTGCATTTGCATTTTTGGAGGCACATCCAACTGTTGGCTTAATGTTGAAATCTAAAGGTAGATCTGATCAATGTTATCTGCAAAAGATATTAAAAATCATTCAAAGTGAGGCACTTTCAGCTCCCTAGAATTAAACAGAAATCCCATGTTTGGTACTTGTGTTGGTGTATTGTGTGTGTGTATGGATACACATATGTATGTATGTGTATGTGTAAGAGAGAGAGAGGGAGGGGGAGAGAGAGAGAGAGAGAGAGAGACAATATAATATCTTCATCTTCTTTCCATTCCTGCTCTTTTCAGGTCCTGCGGTTGATTTTCCTGTATCTGACAATAGTCTGAGAGATGTAGAAAGTCTTCATTCCACACTGAGATCAGAGGTAGGATGCTATTTCTGAAAAACAAATAAAAGCAAATAGAAAAAAAATACATTTTTGTTTTTGTGTTTGGGAGTCAGGCCTAATATGTACTCTGGGTTAAATTAGTTTTAAGCTCTTGTTTATTAATGTTTCAATGCATTTTTCTCTAGAATGACAGGTTGAAAAAGTTTTGTAATGACCTTGAAGAAAAGAACGAAGTAGCAGAGCTTCAAATAAAGCAAAAATCTATAGATTATCGTAATCAGCTACAGCAGAAAGAGGTAAATAATGGCTCAATCTAGTTGAACAACATTTAATTTGTGACTTTATGTACTTAATAGGATGGCAACCTATTTTGTAAAGACAGGCAGGCAACTTGGCTATTTGTTGTAATGTGTGTAAGTGGCCCCAAACCTTTCTACAAGTCATACTTCATCTTGAATCGTTAAGAATCAGCATAACAAGATATTTTTTATATTGTCTTTATATTGTTCTATTTATGTTTAAGGAAGCTTATGATTCATTTGTAATATATTTTTTTAAAAAACATGAATAGCTGCTGTTCTTTATAAAGTCTGGAATTAGTTCAGGGAGATTGCTGAAATTTCTCTGGATTATTGAACACTAGAAATATGGTGTATAGATATGTAGAAATCAGTACAGCATAGAATATGTTCAATAACATAAAGATATAATTAAGAGCAGTCTGTGCCACTTCGTAATGCATAAGAATATGAGTCTGTTTTCTCCTGTAAACTGTGGTATTGGAAAGATTTTTGCAGACTTCCTTGGACCACAGGAAGAACAAATCATTCAGTAGCTGGTAAAGTAAAACCAGACTGCTTAATAAAGCTAGAGCTTAAATATTGTTAATATATAATGTGAAGGCAAGAGTCACTGGAGAAGACCGTGATGATTGAAAAAATAGAAGACAATAAAAAAGAGGCCAGAAGGAGACAAATTGCTGCTACATAGCCTTGATCAAATGATATCCATTCTGTCATGAAAAGTTCAAAGTGGTTGAGTAACTAAACAGCTATTTTGTCCATGTTTGTTTTAAATACCAAAAATTTGGATTTGCTATTATACTAAATTCCCATAAGTAAGCATGTTACATTCAGCACTCAAGTTAGTAAAAATTTTAAAACATACATTTACAACATTAGTAAGTAATTTTCCTTCTCTGACAAATCATTGCATGTAATTTATGTTTCCTTATGTCAAAGGAAATAAACCCCATTGTTGAAGAAACCCCATTGTTGGAAAGGTATGAATGGGAACACATACTAAGATGCATCTTCTCCCTCATAATGTATTATTATGTTGCGAAGATATTCTCTCTTTCTAAGTCTCATAACACATGTACTATTTTCTGAGGGCAAATATGCTCTTCCTCATAACCACAGGAGAGAGGTCTTCAGGACACATAAATATCAGACTGAGATACTGCACAAAGATTGTTTTATAGTATGTTAACATCAGATTCAAATTACATAATTGATTTCATGGAGGCATTGTAGGATTCTGGTAAAAAAATAATCACTTAAGTGGTAGTATTCAGCAGTCTTGACTTGATCTTGTTCATATAAAGAATGGTTGCTGGAACTGGTATGTCTAGTCTGATGAAAAGAAGGACTGGGGTGACATGATAGCAGTCTTCCAATATCTCAGGGACTGCCACAAAGAGGCGGCCAACCTATTCTCCAAAGCACCTGAGGGTAGGACAAGAAGCAATGCGTGGAAACTAATCAAGGAGAGAAGCAACCTAAAACTAAGGAGAAATTTCCTGACAGAAATCATTGGAACAACTTGCCTCCAGAGGTTGTGAATGCTCCAACACTGGAAGTTTTTGAGAAGAGTTTGGATAATCATTTGTCTGAAGTGGTGTAGGGTTTCCTGCCTAAGAAGGGGGTGGACTAGAAGGCCTCCCAGGTCTCTTCCAACTCTGTTATTCTATTCTATTATGAACAAGATAAGCAAAAGTGGGCTTAGTTACTTTTCAGATGGGAGATAATCAGTCCTATCCTGGGAAGCCAGAAATACAAGTCTCAAGAGTGTAGTGGCTAACCACTGCTATGTTGTTGAAAAATGACAAGGACATGTTCATGCAATTGAAAGAAGTTGGCCTTAATTTAAGGGATTCTTCTTAGTATAATGCAACAAGAGAAAAAGGTACAATTAATGAAATAGCTTAATGAAATAAGGATAATTTTAGTAGCTGTTAGCTAAATTAAACAATATTTAAAAGATAAATTAAAATTAAAAGTTGCAGTTAATGTTGGATCGAACACTTTCTTTACTGAAATGTACATGTCTTGGTCTAGGTGGAAATCAGCCATCTCAAAGCCAGGCAGAATGCTTTACAAGAGCAACTACAGAAAATGCAGTCAGCTGCTCATTCATCACAGTTGAAACCAGTTGTTTCTCCATCAGCCACTACATCAGCTTCTTTTCCTGTTGTTAGACATCATTCTTCTGATTTTCATAGAGATGATATGGATTTTGGAGATGTGATCTGGTCTCAACAGGAAATAAACAGACTGTCCAGTGAAATTTCTAGGCTCGAATCTGAAGTTGAACACTGGAAGCAGATTGCACAGGTGTGTCTCTTTTCTGAATAACATAATATAGACTATATATATCAGGGGTGTCAAACTCAAGGCCCGCGGGCCGGATCCAGCCTGCATTGCCATCCTGGAAACTATAAGGGTCCAGCCCGTGGCTGGCCTATGCCATCCCGGCGCACGCGCACACAGGCCCAGTTCTCCATCACCACATACAGGGCAACAAAAGTAGTCTATTGGACTATGGTAAAAAAAAAATAGTTCAGATCTTCCAACCTCACAAGAACTTTATTTCTTTCCGTGAGTTGGAAGGTCTGAACTATTTTTTTTACCATAGTCCCACCAGACTACTTTAGTTGCCCTGCATGTGGTGACGGAGAACTGGGCCTGTGTGTGGCGACGGAGAACAGAGCTGGAAAGCAGGTTAGTGAAGGGATGTGGCTGCCTTGGGTGGTGGTGAGGGTTTGGATTGGGTGGCCTGGCTGAAGGGCCTCAGGGAAGCCGTGGCAGGGGCAGATGGGGCAGCTCCACACCCCCTGCCTTGCTTCGTCCTCCACATCCCCTCCTCCTTGCTTGCCACCATAACCTAGCAGGAAGCTGAGAAATGCACTTGTGCAGTGGCCACAAAACGAGGTGGGGCGGTGGAGGAGTAAGTAAGGCAGAGGGCGTGGAGCTGCCCCCCATGCCTCACACTAGCTTACTTGAGCACCCTGCCAGCCAGGCATTGAAGCACTGCAACTGCTGCCGCAGGGAGTCAGAGAGAGAGGAGGGGGCTCTCCAAACTCGGTTTGTGTGTGTGTGTGTGTGTGTAGAGAGAGAGAGAGATCCCTGTTTCAGCCGTGGCACTGAAGCTGCTGGCAGTGGCAGGGGTGGCAGGAGCCACCTGAGCAGCCATGATCCCCCCTCCCCAACCAACCAGCCCCACCTGACTGCTCCCTGGGTCTCGCCATTCTTCTCCTTGTCCTCCCCACCCAAGCGGCGGCAGGCAGAGCCTCTCGTTTTTCGCTCGGAACGGCAAACTCCTGCTTCACTCGGGAAATTCAAGCTGCTGGCGGTGGTGGCAGCAACCTAAGTAGCCATGATTCCCCCCTCCCCAACCAGCCAGCCCTGCCTGACCTGCTCCCTGCCTTTTCCCTTTAAATGGCAGTATGATTTAATAAGAGATGTATTATTAATTATCTCATTTCTAAATTCAGTATTAATGGAACTTGCCTGAGTGGCACAAGAGTTGTTTATTTCCAGTGACAGTGTTCTGTTTAACATTTGATCCAGAGTTCACTGTCTCTGTAGGTTTGTAGTGTAATTGTACATCATTACATATATTTTATTTGTGACAATGAATAAAAAATATACAGGTAGTCCTCAACTTACAACAGTTGATTTAGTGACCGTTCGAAGTTACAACGGCACTGAAAAAAATGACATGACCACTTTTCACACTTATGACCATTGCAACATCCCCATGGTCACATGATTTACATTCAAATGCTTGACAACTCACAGTTATGACGGTTGCAGTGTCCCAGAGTCATATGATCCCCTTCTGGCAAGCAATGGGCAAACCAGATTCACTTAACAACGGTATTACTAATTTAAGAACTGCAGTGATTCACTTAACAAATGTGGTGAGAAAAGTTGTGGGGCAAAACTCACTGAACAAATTTTTTAATTAGCAACATAAATTCTGGGCTCAATTGTGGTCGTAAGCTGAGGATTACCTCTACCAACATTGATAAAAGTGTTGCAGCTTCCCCCCACCCACCCACCCCCCACACACACCAGGAATTCTGAATAGTTAGCTGTGTGTATTTCTATAACAGTTTCATTTTTCAGTATAAACTTGAATCATAAGTTTACATTGGGAATATTGCTTCAGTATGTTTAATGGGGCAGGGTGGGAAGAAGAGGCAAATTGTAAACTGCTGCACATAGAGCTGAGCTTTAGCTTATGAAGCTCCTAAATGATGGACTGAAGCTAACAGATGCAATTTGTATAACAAATTGTGGTGGGTCCTGGTGTTCTGTTCACTAGGCCACACTCATTGTAGAGCTTGAAACTTGATTTATTAAACATTGTTCAAGAATAATTTTCTTAAGATCCTGCCATGTTGCTGCTGCACACCATTTAAGCCTAAACCACTTTCAGCATTTTACATCTTTTTTCTCCACCATCTCATTTAGTTTTCTAAGCCTCAAGGAGAAAATAGTACAGATCAAAATGAAATCTGCAAGCTGCAAAATATTATCAAGGTAAAAAAACAACAACACCCCACCTCTTTTCCTTATAAGGACATCACTCCTTATAGAGTTACTACAAGTTTAGGATAATCCTCTAATGCACAGACATTTATTAATGCTTTTTAAAGTTATTTTGAATAAAATACTTGCATATGAATATAAATGTAAATATACATCTTGAAATATTTAGAAATAATGCTTTCTTATGAATTAAAACAATGATTTGCATTGTATCTTTTGAGTGCTCCTTAATTAAACAACAAGGTACAACCTCCGAATCATTCATGGACATTTTTTACTAAAAGTTCCATATTTTCCTTTGTAAGTGAATCAGTCTTCAGATATTTTGCATTGTTAACGAATAAAGTACTCCAGAATGAACTTTATACTTTAAATTTAAAATTTAAAACCATAAAGAACTTTAAACTTTCAAGTCATGAACTTTACTTTTCATTAATTACACATTTTAGGAACTGAAACAGAAGTTGAGCCAAGAAATAGATCAGCACCAGCATGAGCTTTCAGTATTGCAAGATGCACATCATCAAAAATTAGCAGAGATAAGCCGACGTCATAGAGAAGAACTAAGTGAATATGAAGAACGAATAGATGAATTGGAGGATCAATTACAGAAAGGTTTTGTTTGTTCTTAAGAGTTCTAAAAGAATTTTAAAAAAGTTATTACTATATTGAGCATGTAAAAAGAGTACCAGATTTCAAGTGTAATTTTATTCCAAGTAGTACTTTATGTAATTTATAATTTCTGGACTGCTGAGCACCCATAACGGATAATATGATACTTCATAGACGTAGTCCTTCTAATTTACCAGTATAGTACTTTTAAGAAAAACTGTAACTATAAAATTTGTGAAACAGGAAACATTAGCTATAATTAGTAAAATGGTATGGCCAGTTAAAATCCTTGGATATATAAATATGCTTAGTCCTGAAGCTGGAAACACTGTACTTCCAATGGTAGAAAAATTTCTGCAGGTGGGATTATTCAGAGACTTAATGCTACCATACGAACCTTTGCAGCAAACAAAGATTTTGTCAGGATGATGAAATGTCCATTATAATGTTATGATACAAGCTTTGCCTGTTAAGAACCAAAGTGCAACATTGTGACGCAAATACTAAAAATAGCATCAATAAGAAAGTTCTGCAAACTCTAAACCTTGATTCTTTGATTCTGTTTGGCTGACTGCTGCCACTAATTTCTCTGTTTGTTTTCTTATGGCATTAATGATGTTGGTACTTCCTAGTTCTTCATATTCATGTATTCTCAGTTTTATACTATTAAAGATATTCAAGATATCTATTGTTTTCTGTATAGTTTCTCTCTATAGTGCTAAAGAGGAAAAGTAATGAAGATATGCATGCAGGGCATATAGTTACATTATGTCTGTTTCAAGTATTAGCAATATTTGCAAACCCAACAGAAAAGCTTTGCAACGTATCTCCATGTTATATAAACACAGAGTGCCTGCTGTGTTTATAATGACTACTATCCATTGTAACTACTAATGGAAAAGTATCCATTAAATCAGTAGGTCATGAGAAATAAAGCTTAAAACTATGAGAATATATACAATCCAGGCATTTTTGCAGTGCATTAAGCAATCAAGTACGTGTCTTTCTTATCATTGGCAATAAAAATTTTAATTTAGCCAAACCATGGCTGTGAGTTTCTACAAATAAAACTTGACAGTACCAGTAGAAATGCTACAAAAATGCTTTGCAAAATACTTATTGTTAATATTTATGCAGAAGAAATTAAGAAATATTTAATTTTACAAAATATTTTTATTTATGTTTTAACTTTTTTTATTTATGTACTCAATATGATAATTATAACATTATTATAGAGTGCTTCTGGGTTCTAATATAAATTTATGTTTCCTTGCTTAGTTGATGGAAATACTGAAGCGTCTTCTGAAAAAGATCTACAAAATGGATCAAAATCACCAAACCTGAGTAACTTACAAAATAAAGTGGAAAGTTTAAGTCAACAATTGTCTTCAGCAGAAGAAGAGAAAGACATTCTCTTGAAAGAACTTGAATTTGTAAGAAAAGAGAAAAATCAAGTAAGAGAAGAATACGAAAGGCTAAAATCTGAATGCAGTAAATTCCAAATATCTATTCCTGAAAAACAGGACGATGTAAAAGTAGAGGAAGTCCCTAGTTTTGTAGAAGAATCGTTGAAGGCTGAAGTGGAACGATTGCAACAAGCACTACTTGGTATGAAAACACTGCAAATTCACCATATGATATGTTGTATTTTAGCATGTGAACACAGTTTCGTGAAACAAAGATTGGAGATTTATGCACAAATTCTTCTTCATTTAGCAATGTTCTATTTTGGTACTTTCCTTTCGTGGTTTCCTGTGCCTCTTTCAGCATTAGAAGCTGCTGCTCAAAGAAGAAAGCTGAAAAGTGGTCGATTCATATACAGCTCTTTGATTCCTAGCCCAAGTATTGTATGTGAGGAAAACATTCATACCTAAAAAGATATGATCAAGCCTTTCTAGAAAAACAAGTTTAAGAAAATAAATAAAGAAACCCAAACCCATTCACCTATTTGTATTATTGTACTTTATAATATTGAAAAACAGTTCTTTTGGCTGTTTTTCTTCCTAACCCAATTTGTTTCGAAATGATACAAAATATGATAATAAATGGACTTGTATTTAATTGTTGCTTTACTTTTACTCAGTATATTTCAAGATACCATCACTCAACCACCTATCTGGACAATTTTTCGTCTAGTTTCTCACCTTCCCTTTTTTGGGAAAGTGGTAGAAAAGGTGGTCACACTGTAGCTCCAGGATATCCTGGATGAAATGGATTATCTGGACACCTTCCAGTCGGGTTTCAGGCCTGTTTGATTAGTTTGGGACAGAAACAATATTGGTTGCATTCTAGATGATCTCCAGCAAGAGTGGGATGTGGGTAGAACATCCATCCTGGATCTCCTTGACCTTTGGGTGGCTTTCAGTACTATTGACCATAGTATCCTTTTGGATCAGCTGTGGCATTTGAGGGGTGCAGTTTTGTGCTGATCCAGCTCCTTCCTCCAAGGCTGGTCCCAGTCAGTGTTGATAGGGGGTAAGAGGTCTAGCCCATGGATTGTCCTTTGTGGGGTGCTGCAGGATTGGCACTTGCTCCACTTCTTTTTAGTATCTATATGAAACCACTGGGTGAGAGCATTGGACACCATGGGACGAGGTATCTTAAGTACACTGATGATGCTCAACTATATATCTCCATCATGGGCGACCCCAGTGATGCTGTAGGTGCCCCATGGTGCTGGAATTTGTAGGGATCTGGATGGGGGACAAAGGGCTTCAGCTGAATCCTGGTAAGAGAGAATGGCTGGAGAGGTTCATCTATAGTTCTAGATAAAGTTGCACAACCTGGCGTCCTTCTGGAATTACGACTATTTTGCTTGCACACTTTCCTGGATCATAAGAACATGCACTCAGTCATTCACGCCTTATTCACCTGTCTTTTGGACTATTGCAAGACACTCAAGTGGGGCCTATCCACGAAGACTGTTTGGAAGGTATAGGTCATGTAGAATCCTCCAGCCTGGCCATTTTTAGCTGCTCCTAGAGTGGTGCACATAACCTGCACATTATGAAATATGTCTTTATATTTGAGGTCTGCCTGGGTTGAAGTCTGCTCCCATACTTTTGGCTTTCCAGAAAGGAGATAAAACTTGGCTCTGCTTGTTATCCTGGGATCTTAATGGAAGTGCTCCATGTTGGAAGTGGCTAGTGGATTAACTAAGAAGATGCTACTGCCTTATTGGTCTTCCTTTTTTTTTTGCTTCTCTTTGTAGTTAATCTTTGTACTATCTGTTATATTTATAATTTTAATTGTAAGCTTCCCAGAGTCACTTTTCAAAGTGAGATGAGCGGCATATAAATTTAATAAATAAAATCTGAAGAAATCTTCTATTAACAACTTGAATTCTCTATGTATCAATGAACTTTCTGCTTACATTTTTACAGATGCAGAAAGTGAAATAACAAAATTGAAAACATTAAATCAGGTAACTATGTAAAAGGTAATATAAAAATATGTCCAACATTAAAGGTCCATTGTTCAAAATTATCCTTCAGTATACAGAATATTCTTCTTTAATTATAATATCTTGTTCCTTCTATTTCTCTCTAGTGTCTAACCTTAAGTCCCTTCCTACCATGTTTTTCCAACAGAAAGGATTCCTATAATTAATTCCAAAAGCTTATTTCAAACTTACCTGTCCCTGAGTCCATTTGCAGCTTTCTAAAATTAAAAATATAATCACCCCTTTGCTATTTATGTAAAACAAAAATTAAGTCTTTAAGCAATTATGTTCAAATTGATTTTATCCTATTAAATTTAAGATCTTTTTTGTGTCTAAATTAAGGGAGAAGTTAACAAAGAAATGGGAAGTTTACAACCTGTTAGTACTATAAAAGGACAGAACTTGGAAAATCAGCTAGAACACATGCTAAAGAAGCAATATGAATTGAATGAAAGCAGTGCTGAAAAAGAAACTCTAATAGCGGAATTGGAAGAACTGGACAAGCAGAACCAAGAAGCTACCCAGGTGAGAAATATAAGGGAGGGGCAGGAATACTGTATAATTTACAAAATATGTGCTTTTGTGTTTAAATATCCGTGCAACAAAACTATAAAGTTTTTGGTTAACTATTTAAAAAAACTAGTTCAAAAACCCTCTCTAATTCAGACCTCTTGACTAGTATAAGCTAATTTTTCCCTGGAAACAGGAGAATTAGCATTTTTGAAAAAAAAAGGGAAAAGGTGAAAAGATACACTGGAAAGAGGAAAAGCAAAAAGACAACTCCATCGATTTTTGACTGTGACTTTGTCCCCTCCCCCTATATAACCCCTAACAGATTTCCTTGAACTAATGCTTCCTCCCCTTGCTCTGATTGAATAAGATGGATACCCAGCAAAATGTCAGTATCGTGAATTGGGAATTAATGAAACCCTGAAGGGTGCAAGAAACCCTGAAGGTTAAAAAAATGGTAAAATGCAGGATTGATATTGGTACTTTACAGTAACGTAAATACAATGCTTTGAAAACATTGTGAAATAAAGAGTATTTTGACTCAAAGCTTTACTTGTATGTCATAAATAAAAATATTTTTTTTATTTTATTTTAGCATATGATTATGTTAAAGGAACAACTAGTCAAACAAAGTGCAGAAGCTGCTGAAGTTATCAGCCAACTAAAACTGGATGTAAAATCTGGGGAAAATACAGTATCTATGTTGGAGGCAGAGAAAATGGAAATGAGCAAAGAGGTGCAAAACCAGAAAGAAGCATTGAATCAATGCTCACTTGCCCTTAATGATTTGCACATGACTAACCAATATCAGGAAAATAAAATAAAAGAGTTAAAAGAACAACTTAAAACATCCCAACATTATAGCTTCAAAAATGAACAGGAAATTATGAAATTAAAGAAAAATCTAACTGAAAGAGAAGAAGAATGTTCTCTTCTCAAAAACGAATTAACCAAGATACATCAGAAATCTGATAGTTATCAAGATCATTCAGCCACTGAAAGAGAAGAAGAAATATCAGACCTGAAGCAGCAAATTTCTAAAAATAAACTAATAAATACAGATTTGGAGAAATCCATCATGAATCTTCAAACAGAAAAGGGAAGACTTCATTTAGCATGTGAGGAACTTAAACAGCAGTTGCAAATAGCTAATAGTGAGAAGGGTAAAATTGGTTTTGAAAAAGATACTATGCTGGAAGCTTTGAAACTTGAGAAGGGACAGTTAGAAAGAGAATTAAACCAATCTGAAAAACGATTGTTGGAGCAGGCTCATAAATATGAACAGACCATTGAGGAGTTATCAAATGCACGTAACATGGATACCACTGCATTACAATATGAACATGAACGGTTAGTAAAACTTTCTCAAGACAAAGAGTTTGAGATAGCAGATCTCAAAAGGAACATTGAACAGATGGAAATGGATCATGAAGAAACTAAAGAGATGTTAACCACTAGCTTAGCTGGCCAGAAACAACTGACAGAGCTCATAAAAGAGAAAGAAGTCTTTGTTGAAAAATTTAAAATCAGAGCTTTTGAGTTAGAGCAGCAACATGACGATTATATTGAGAACATGAAAAGAATTGAGGCACTGAAGCAGAATTTAGAGGAAAGGGAGAAAAGTCTTTCAGCTATGAAAGAAGAGACCAGTCATTTGAAAGAAGAGAATGAGCGATTAAAAGAACAACAAAGTAGGTCCCCTTCTTTGGCTGAGCCCAAAACATTGGATATCATCACAGAGCTTGAAGCAGAAATAACACAATTAACTATACTTAAAAATAGTCTTGAAGAAGAGATTAAATTAAACAAAAAGACATTTGAGGATCAGAATTTGAAAATGGCTCAACTACAGCAATCCCTACAAGAATACAGAAAGGAAACCGAGGAATCAAAATTTCAGCATGAACAAATGAACATAGTACATAGGCAGGTATGCATGGAGAAGGATGAAGAAATCAAAAGCCTACAGAGGACAGTAGAACAAATTAAAACACAACTGAACAACCAAGGAAAGGTAATTCAGCAAGACCCTCCTGATCTTTTTCAGGAATCTAAAGTTCAGACACTCAATGGTGAAAATGGGAATGAGAAGCATGACCTATCTAAGGTTGAAATTGAAAGGCTGATAAAAGGCATTAAGGAGAGAGAAATGGAAATCAAGCTTCTGAATGAAAAGAACGTTTCACTAAGTAGACAGATTGACCAATTATCTAAAGATGAAGTTGGCAAACTTACACAGATCATTCAAGAAAAAAACTTAGAAATACAAGCACTGCATGCAACGGTTTCCTCCTCATCTTACAAGCAAGATGTTATTTTCCTTCAACAGCAATTACAGACCTATGCCATGGAACGAGAACAAGTGCTAGCAGTTCTTAGTGAAAAAACTAGAGAAAACAGTCAGTTAAAAACAGACTATCACAAATTAGTGGATATTGTTGCAGCTAAGGAATCAACCATGAAAAAGTTACAAGAAGAAAACCAAAAGCTATCCAGCGAATTTGAAAGTAGCAGTCATGATATGTCTCGAGAAACTATAAAGAACTTATCCCGTATCATCCGAGAGAAAGATATTGAGATTGATGCTTTAAGTCAGAAATGTCAAACTTTATTAACTGTCCTGCAGTCTTCCAGTATAAACTCAGGCAGTGAGTTACCAGGAATTAATAGTAATCAGTTTGAGGAACTTTTACAGGAACGTGACACACTGAAACAGCAAGTAAAGAAAATGGAAGAATGGAAGAAACAAGTAATGACTACTGTTCAAAATATGCAACATGAGTCTGGTCATCTCCAAGAAGAACTACAAAAACTTCAGATACAAATTTCAGTTGACAGTGAAAACAATTCCCAGCTACAGCTAGAATACAATGGCTTAATACAGGGCTATGAACAAAATGAGAAAAAGTTAAAAACCTTTACTCAAGAATTAGCCCAAGTTCAGCAGAGCATAGGAAACCTTAATAATACCCGCGATGTAATTCTTGGAAAGCTTGATATGGTAACACCACCACTATTAGTAACTTCTTCTGTTGAAGGAAAACCATTAGAAGTTCCCAGTAATACTTCTTCTCAGATGTTTGACAGTGAGTGTAAATCAGTAAATGAGGAACTAGAATTCACAAAGAAAACATTGCAGGAAAAGGATTTGCTTATCCAGACTTTGCAAGAAAATAATCAGAGACTGTCTGATTCAATGGCTGCATCGTCAGAGGTCGAAAGAAAGTGTCAACAGGAATTTAGCTTGGAAATAAAGCAGTTAAAGGATAAATCTGACATTTTACAGATGTCTCTCAAAGAAAAAGATCTGCTGATAAAATCAAAAGGTGACCAGTTGCTTTCTCTGAGAGAAAATCTTAGTAATAAAGAGAGTGAAAATGAGCTGCTGAAGCAAAGTGTCACTAACCTGAAAGAAAGAACGCTGATCTTAGAAATGGATGTTCGTACATTGAAGGAAGAAAATGACAGAATAGCGGCAAAAAGCCAGGAAAAAGAAACAGAATTCCGAGCACTACAAGAGACAAACATGCAGTTTTCAATAATGTTAAGGGAGAAGGAATTTGAACATAATTCCATGAAGGAGAAAGCACTTACGTTTGAAAAGATGTTGAAAGAAAGAGAACAGGTATGCAATGAGTTTGAATTCTTCTGCATCAAAATCATAGGGGAGGAAATGTGACTGCAGTTATGTCATGTTATTTAAACTCTGATGTAGGATTCCCATTTCCTATGCTGAATTTGGAAAGTGAAATCAGCCCCTCCCCCGAGCATAAGTAAGGAAAATGGGGCCTGGGAATGCCCACCTGACTTGAATTATTTTCTGATTGGCCATAGAAGAAAGAAAATGGCCAATTTAGATGGGCCTTCATTGGGTGTCAGGCAACATGTAAATTTAATACAGGTAGTCCTCAACTTATGATTATAATTGAGCCCAACATTTATGTTGCTAAGTGAGATTTGTTAAATGAGTTTTGCCCCATTTTATGACCTTTCTTGCCACAGTTGTTAAGTGAATCACTGCAGTTGTTAAGTTAGTAATATGGTTGGTGAGTGAATCTGGCTTCCCCATTAAATTTGCTTGTCAGGAGATTGAAAAAGGTGATCCCATGACCTTGGGACACTGCAACCATCATAAATAGAAACCAGCTATCAAGCATCCAAATGTAAATCACATGACCATGAGAATGCTGCAATGGTCATAAGTGTGAAAAATTGTCATAAGTCACTTTTTTCAATGCCATTGTAACTTTGAACAGTCTAAATGAACTCTTTTAAGGACTATCTCTATATTATTTATTATCATCACGATGATCAACTCCTCACAGGGCTCTGTTTATATTCTTAAGGTCTTTTAATTAATCAACATATATGGGAAGCTGGCATAATGCAAAACTTCAGCCTCTCAAATCAGTTTTACTTAAAAGAATGTTTTGGGAATCCACATAAGCTCCATAGGCAACAGCAGCAAATAAAATTGGTGGGTGGCCACATTTTTTGGAACTATATCTTCTATATGTTCAAACAAACAATGTCTGCTTGTCTTGATGTGCTATCCCAGAGCTTTAATCCGCTTGTTATTTTTATTTGTGAAAGGGGAAGACAGGAGAACTAAACCAGCTGCTAAATGAAGCCAAGTCAATGCATGAAAAAGCTGTTGCCTTTCAGCAAGAGCGAGATCAAGTCATGTTGGCCCTCAAACAAAAACAAATGGAGACTAGCGCGCTACAGAATGAGGTAAATAAAGGGTGCAAGAAAATAGTGAGTGATGCATAGATGGTAGTAACGTAAGGAACTGAAAGAACATTTCTTCAATCATATACAGGTGCAGTATTTACGTGAGAAGGAGCAGCGATTAAATCAAGAGCTAGACAGGTTACGTAATCATCTTTTGGAAAGGGAAGATACCTCCACACGTGAAGCTTTAGCCGCTGAGGATCGGGAATCAAAGCTAAAAAAGAAAGTCCGCGATTTGGAGGAAAAGCTTCAGTCTTCATCAACTGTAGCGGAAAATGTCAGGTATTTGTTTGGTCTCCTCAGTAAATTGCTGTTTGCATGGATATGTATTTAAAAAATGGATACAAGAAACATTACTTGGCCCAGTCATAATGGACTCTTGGCAGAGTATAATAAAGGCCCTTCCCCAAAAGTTTTAACATGCACATGTGTAATAAAAGATAACAGAAATCGGAAATAAAATTTAGTATTTCTAAGTATTTATGTTTTATTTGAAGCCATCAGGCAAACATGCAGGTGGAATCTCTGCAAGAACAATTGAACCTTGTTACCGCACAAAGAGATGAGACTATGCTTCAACTAACACTTTCACAAGACCAAGTTAAACAGTATGCCATATCCCTGACAAACCTGCAGATGGTGCTAGAGCAATTTCAACGGGGTAAGTTGAATGTATACATTGCCATGATTGTCTTTCCTTGTAATCTAAAAATGTAATACTATTTTATTACTATTTTGTTCTGAAGTGGGGCATTTTAAAATGGAAGACTCCCTTCCATTCACTCTGGGGGCAGGACGAGAAAAACTTCCTTCCTATAGGAGGAGATGCCTTTCTCCTCTAGTTCCAATCCTTCCTTTTTGGGGGACATTACACACATTGTGAACTCTGTGCAACCTCCACCTGGACACTTCACCTTTGTTACAGATTGTGCTTGTTTTGTTTTTTTTCTTCCATTTCCTTTATTCTGGGCTTCCTTTAAGGTAGCTTCAGGTCAATGACTAACGAAGTAAAGACAGAAATACACTGTCCAGGAATTCCTTAAAGTTTTGCAGCGTCATTTCCTCTTATCTCCCTCTTTTGATTCCTTCAGAACAAGGCAATCAAACCAAAACTCCCAAGTCAAACGTTACAGATTACTTTGACTCTTTCTGATTTGGCAACCATATAAGTCAAATAAATAAAAAAAACCATGTACCTCTTATTAGTACTGAAATGTTTCATGGCTTGGGCACCAGAAGAAATGTAAACCAAAGGCACCCATTTTTCACCACCACCTCCTGGCTCTTTGCCATCAAAGTGGCAGTACAATTAATCTTCAACTTATTAACATAATTGAGCTCAGAATTATGGACTTAAATCATGCCAGTTGTCAAGCAAGGCATCAGGTGAACATGACCAATTTTGCTATCTTCTTTGCAGCAGGCGTTAAATGAACCACTGTGGTTAAGTTATTAAGAGGTTGTTAAGTGAATCCATTATCTGTCATGGACTTTTTTATTGCCAGAAAAAGGAAGTAAATGCTGGCAAAAATGTGGTCAAATTTTCCTGTAAATGAGGGCTACTTGCCCAAAATGCAATCATATGACCTCCAGGGGAGTGGTAGCTATAAGGACTTTGAATCTGGATTGTAAGTAACCCTGGGAAGGTCCATCATAACTTTTGAACGGTTACAAAGCAATCGGTTGTAAGTCAAGGACTACCTGTAGTCCCTTCTGAAGCATCAATGACTTTCTCTTCTCCAAAGAAGAGAAAGAAGTGAAGACAATAGGGTAGTAATATCAGAGGAGGTCCGCCTCTGTATCCACACACTCTTGACAGAAACTAGAAAAGCAGGATGTCCAGTCTTGGGACCTGTAGACAGAGGAAGCAAGCAAAGAGAAAGTAAGGAAAAAAATCACACCAATCCTTCCTGTGTGTCCTTTACCTTTTAGAAGTTTTCTCATGACTCCTGCTGTAGAGGTGAAGATTGTAGGAAAGAAAAAAGTCACTTAGTAGAGGAAAGGACACCTACCCTCCCCCAATACACACACACACCTCATTCCACTCAGAGAAGTCTGAGAACTTAGGCCTGAAACCAACCTTATTTTCCCACAGGATCCCACTTGGACATGCTGGATGCAAAGTTCTTCCTTGGTTTAGGAAGGCTAAAATGAGTTCACACATGCTGATGATGAAAAGTTTTAAGAATGTTAGGATTATCTGTTTGATTTAATCATATCCCTGACTGGCAAGATGGTTGCACTGCTGACAAAATGGCCCAACCAGCTTGGCTCCCCTTGGCATTATTGACTCTCCTGGGAAACATTTGTAGGATTGCCATCTGGTATTTGTGCCATTCCTTATATAGCTCTATAAGATTAACTCTTGGCCAAAATATCTTTTGCTAGGAATGTACTTCAGAAAATACTCCAGCAGAAAACCAGCCTCCTCCTCAGAGTCTGATATCACACACACACACACACACACACACACACACACACACACAAAACAAAACAAAAAACGGGACAGCTATGGTATGTCCCATTTCAGAATTCCCTGGCTTCATTCTGGAAAAAGGACTTCCATGGTTAACCCTGTATACCGTTTTGGTGACACTAAAGCTATTGAACAAGCTGTTCTCTCAATATCTGATTTTAATGATGAATGTGTGTTAAAGAGCTAAATAAGCATATTTTAACTTTAGAAGAGAAAGCCATGTATTCAGCTGAGTTACAAAAAGCCCAAAAGCAGACTGCAGATTGGAAGAAGAAAGCAGAGCAGCTAGAAGACCACGTGGTTTTGTTGCAAGTAAGTTGAATGATTCTCTAGCTCAGCTTATTTATTCAAACTGACTCAGTAAAGAAAAAGAATCAGAAAATCTGAAGGAGCAGTAACAGTTGTTGTACAGTGGTACTTAAAATGGGCAAACCTTTTTTAATTTTTAATATTTCTGCACAAATACAACCTAAAACATGATCTGTTCTCTACACAAGTCCTAACACTATATAAAGACAACCCAGTTAAACAAATACACCAAAAGCACTATACTTGTTCATTTATTTATGGAGGAAACTGATCTAAATGTACATATTTGTGTGTGGCAAAAGTATGATTTTGCTTTCAGTAACTGGTATGGCCCCCTTGGGCAGCAATAACTGACTAAATGTTTCTGATCAATTGATCAATAGCTGTTGATCAGTTCAGCACATCAGTTTGAAGGAATTTCAGCCCATTTCTCCTTACAGAGCAGTTTAACTCAGATATGTTGATGGGCTTTTTTGCATGAACTGCCTGCTTTGAGTCCTTCCCTAACATTTTTATAGGATTAAGGTTAGGGCTTTGACTTGGCCATTCCAAAATATTAACTTTTTTCTGCTTTAGCCATTCTTGAATCATACAGCTTGCATGTTTGAGTTGTTGCCTTGCTGCATGACCCACTTTCACAGACAGGTATACTCTGACATTTTCCTATAGAATTTGTTGGTACAATTCAGAATTCCATTAATAGTGGCAAGCTGTCCTGATCCAGAGGCAGCAAATTAGGCCCAAAATATAATACGCTGACTACCAGGCTTCACAGATGAGCATAATAACTTTATTACACTGGAAAGTGGTGTTTCCTTTTGTTAACGTCATTCCAGCCCAAAAATTCTATTTTAATCTACATATTTATACAGAAAAATTGAAAATTCAAAGGGGCTCATAAACATTTAAGCACCCCTTTAGGAAGCAAGATGCTAGAGGACAGATTTAAAAAGATAAGAGTAAAAAGTGTCTGAAAGAATTTGTGAGAAGAATAGAAATGTCTCACTGCTCTCTTGCATTCATTGTCTATAAAAAGTTTGACTTTAATAAAATTAATATATGTGTTTATGTGTGATCCATACAAGTGAAATATAAGATATTTTTGTTAGCTCTGATAACCATGGTAAACTTACTTTAACAATCCACCTCATCATACAGGAAAGGTTGGATGAAGCAAATGAAGCTCTAGGTTCTGCATCAAGATTAACAGAGCAGCTAGATCTGAAAGAAGAACAAATTGAAGAACTTAAAAGACAAGGTAACAAGATTATTTTTAAAAATTTGCAAGCAAAGCACTAGTATGTAAATTATCTTCTATTTTACTAAGATTAAAAGTCAGTGTATAGTTGTGACTGAATCTTCCTCTTTAAAAGTCATTTTACTTTCTATAATTAATGTAAAAAAAGAAAAAGGAAGTAGCTCCTTTGTGTTTGTACAATTATTTCTTCCTTCATTAGTAGTGGATTGGCTGATCATGACCACAGTATGCCCCAGGCTGTTCTTACTCCAGGTAATTCTAGAATCAGAATAAGACACATTTTAACAGTTTAACTTAACGTTCCAACAGAGTGGAGGTCTTCTAATAGAAACCCCTGCTCAAGCAGGAAATCCTATAACATTTCAGACAAATGGTTGTCCAACCTCCAATATTGGAGAATCCACAACTTCTAAAGACAAGCTATTCAACTGGTTAATTGTTCTCACTGTTAGGAAAATTGTTCTCAGTTCTCTTCTTGATTAGTTTCCTTCCATTGCTTCTTGTTCTGCCTTCAAGTACTGTGGAGAATAGGTTGACCCCCTCTTCTCTGTGGCAGCCCTTTAGATATTGGAAGACTGCTATAATGTCACCCAGTCCTTCTTTTAATTAAACTAGAGATACCTAATTCCTGCAACCATTCTTCACATGTTTTAGCCTCTATTCCCAAAATCATCTTTGTTGCTCTTTTCTGCACTCTTTCTAGAGTCTCAACCTCTTTTTATATCATGGCAACTAAAACTGGATGCAATATTCCAAATATAGTCTTACCAGGGCATTATAAAGTGATATTACACTTCTCGTGATCTTGATTCTATCCCTCTGTTAATGTAGCCTAAGGCTGTGTTGGCCTTTTTGACAGCTGCAGCACACTGCTAGCTCATATTTAAGTGATTGTCCACTGGGACTCCAAGATCTCTCTTGCAGTTACTATTATTGAGCCAAGTACCACCTATTCTATGTATTTGGTTTTTCTTGTCTAAATGTAGAAGCTCACTATTTCATCACTGAATTTCGTTTTGTTAGATAGGGTCCCGTGTTCAAGTCTGTCAAGATCTTCCTGTATCTTGAGGATGTACAATTGAATTATTTCCATATACTTTGATGAATACATTAACAGAAAATAAAAATACTCTTTTTGATTGCTAACTTTTCTCTGAACACCATTAGAAAATTACATGTATTTTGTGGACGTTGTTTATTTTTATTAGAAAACTTCCAAAACAACAAGTAAGATAAAATAATTTCCTTAATTGTGTACTGCATAGAAATTCTATTGATCATTAAAATTAAGACATTTTGTCCTTGTAAGAAAATTGGATTGGGAAAGTTGCTTTGTGAGGAATATAATAATGGGTGGGCTGCTACTGGTTCTCCCCAGTTTGGGCGAACCGGTTGTTAATTTTATGGCTGGTTCGGCGAACTGACAAATCCCACTCCTGGATGGCCGCACCCACCCCATCCTGCCCCTCTCAGGAGTCCCCACGTGGCCTGTTTTGGATCACACGTAAGTTCAGGACGCACGCGGAGACTCGGGGAGGCTCAGGGAGGGCAAAAAACAGGCCTCCCGGAGGCTCCAGAGAGCCTCTGGAGCCCGGGGAGCCATTTTTGCCCTCCCAGAGGCTCAAGGAAAGCCTCTGGAGCCTGGGGAGGGCGAAAAACATACCTCCCAGAAGTTCTGGAAGGCTGGAAAGAGGCCCATTTCCGGCCTCCAGAGAGCCTCCGGAGCCCGGGGAGGTGGTTTTTGCCCTCCTGGAGGCTCAAGGAAAGCTTCCAGAGCCCGGGGAGGGCAAAAACGCCCCCCAGCACCACCGTAGTGCAGGAGGCCAACTAGACCATGCCCACCATAGCCACGTCCACCCAGCAACCGGGCAGAGAACCAGTTACTAAATTTTTTGAAGCCCATCCCTGAATATAATCTGATCAAATTCCAACAATTTCTCAGAAATAATATTTCATCAAATAGTAAATCCTCTGTTTTCTCCGTTTTTATCTATTCCAAATACAAATATTTAATTTCTTCATTGGGCAGATAAGAACCAAGAATATTGCTACAGGTAGGTGTTTGTTTGGTTTATTGATATTCATTCAGCTTGTGCCACGGTGCTGTTTAATCTGTGTTCCCGTTACATCCTCTGTCAGGAGATATATTCTACATCCATGAAAGCTCTACATACTTTTTTCAGAAATTGAAAAGACCCTATTAATACTGATTCCTGCTACATGAAGTGCTATCATTAATTTAAAGTTGGGTAGGCAGCCTGTTGCCTTCCATATGTTTCTGAATTTATTTTCCAGCATCTGTCATTATTGCCCATCCTGGTTAAACAACTGGATTGTTGAGAGAGATGTGGTAGGGCCAAATGGGCTCCACAACTGCTAAAATGTTACAAGTATTATATTGATACAATGAAATATGTATCAATATCTCCTTTTCTTGAGAAGAAACTGTACTAGGTAGCTTTTCTATTCAGAAAATATGAACTTCTGGACTAAAAAACAACCATTTCAAACAGACCCTCGACTATACTAATATAGTGAATCCACTTGAAAATTTGCTTTCAACTTTGCTTCCTTATTTTTGGACTAAATATACTGATGTGTTGATAAATGTTGTCATAATATATTTTATTTACATCTTGGCCAGACAGTAGAAAGATTTGCCAAGAGAAACATTTTTTTTCAAAAATGAAGCCAATTCTGTTTATCTTAGTATTGCAAATATATATGTGAGAATAGCTGTGCAGACTAACTTATTTTGCATAAGTCAAATGGAGATTGTTAATAGTACAGTTTAAATATACTCATGTGGACTTCTATTTTAATAAAGTGTAACTGAAATTCTCTTTATGGGAATATTTTTTATAAAATAAATATGTCTTAAAGCTCTTCTCTCATGGCAATCATTCATTATTATGCTAATTTTCTTAATGCCAATTCTGTCAATCCAAAAGGAGAGTATTTTCAGGAGAAAGAACAGCATTCAAAAAGCCAGATTGCATTTTCATCATTACTTGCTCTCAAAAACATTAACTGTTTTGTTTGTTTACTGTCCTTTAAAGAAAACAGTCACTTCTAGTTAGTAAACTAGTAAATAAAATCAAAGCACTTTATCAGAATCAGTTCAAAGCCGGTAAAAACTGTTTCTGGGTTATACTGAGAAAGATACTATTTCACCTTATGCACAGCTGCTTTGATCATTAGATGTGAGAATAGTGTTTTGTGGTCTGTAGTTGAGGATGTGGAACAATTTGGGATTTGGCCACATGAGATCAGCAACCACTGCACGAGAAACTGTGATGTTTATTGCTTAATTGCATAAACATTGCCCTAAATTCCAGCTGTGTGTTTTCAGTTTGTACTTTAATAGGATATTAGCACGTAAAGCACATAGTATATCCTGCAGCCAAGTTTCACTGTGCTTCATGCCCATTGTTTTACCTTTGAATTGCCCTCTTGTAATTGACACGCACAACATATTTTTAGTTATGGGATATTCTTTGCTGTATCGAATCTTACTCTGAGATTTGTAGATCAGTATGTCAGTATTTTCAGCAAATAAAGTGGCTGGGATTTCCTCCTCAAAGCGATACCACAGAACAGATATATGGCCAGGAGGGAGTGTTCTGTAGCAGACTACCAAGCCAGTTCGAGATGATCAGATCACTGACATGGATGTGACGAGGCTCCCCTTTTATACACCTTATATTGCGTTGTGTTGGAATAAGAAGGAACATTTAAAGCACATTCAGCCTGTCTCAACAATAGTGTTACAATGAAATGGAGGTAACATTATGATGTTATGTCTTCTGCAAATGGTCAGGGAAGCAACTTTGTGCTGCAGCAAGCAGAATGTGTGCCTGAACTCAGAGGCCGGCAATTCTCAACGCAGTTGAGCTATTCTATTCTGTAAGGAAGTCATTGGCCCTAAGGAAAAAGGCAAGTGCTGCTTTTGAATACACAGATATTCAGGGCACAGGACAAGCTTATCCCACAGAGATGTGCCATAACTTTGCATTGTATAGGAGGAGGGAATTTGCAAAAATATTTCAGTAAATTACTGTGTAATAGACAAAGGAAGAATAATACTCCATCTAGCTTGTTTGTTGATAGCTTCAAAGCTATTAAAATATACTAGAGAAACAGTGCCCTAATGGGCATTGTTTCAGAGTATGACCTTACCTAAACAGAGAAACAATCAGCAAGGACAGGCAAAAAAACAACAACAGTGGGAGCAGAAAATGGTAGTTCCTGCCAACTTCTCTACTGAGTTTCCTTGTGGGAATCAGTTGCCAGCAGGCAGGTAAGTGGCTGATCCTGGATAGGTTGAGGGAGCAAGGAATTGTGAGACTGGCTGGGAAACTATCAAGGAACGTTGAAATGAAGGACCCAATCTCAGATGGTCACCAGGACCAAACATTTATTCTTCCAAGCTTTCGGGCTCACGCTGGAGCCCATCATCAGGGAACTCCTGTCTCTCCAGAATATGTGTACTGGGCAGCTCTATTTGCATATACTCTGGAGAGAATATTTCCCTGATGATCAGCTCAAGCATGAGCCCAGAGCTTAGAAGAATAAATATTTGGTTCTGCTGACCAATTCATATTGGATCCTGCAACATTATCCTGGGACACGTATATGTATCTTCATTCATTGCAAATAAAGATCAAATGACCACAGCAACAGCCAATAGCACTGAAGCAGCCACAACTTTCCCAAATTTCATTCCTTTGGGAATTGTGGGTCCCGTATTTTGGACATATTCTCTAATCCATTTATGGTATTTTGGTTCAGAAATTGTTACCCTATGACGCACCGTTTTGCCCAGTTAAAGGTCATGACAATGATTGGAGGTTAATATCTATCAAATCTTACCTTTAATTAGTCTACTTTTTTCTTTTCTCAAGTAATGAAGACTTTATTCAAAGGCTATTATTTGCACAAGAAAACATAATGTCGTGTTGAATAGTGGCCAGATGCATTCCTAGACAAGGTTTTCTTGGCCTGAGCTGCTGAAGGATTTTTAAATTGATTATTTTGGCACCAGATATTACAATTGTGGAAAAACAAAAGACATACTAGATTTAGGTTTTTGAATTTCCATAAATGGTTAACAAATTGAAAGACAATATTTTAAGTGTCTGGGTCAACAGAAGTTTTGAAATTTAGTCCTGTCTAACTTATCCCCATTAATAAAGTATTATATCAATTTCTGAATTTCATCATGTGAAATTGAGGGAAACAGATACTTATTGATTTGATTAATTTACCTGATAAGCACAGAGCGTGTATAGAATTGTATTATCCAAAATTTACAGGAGTCAACTACAAGTCTAAGTCTTTTACTATTCTAGAGATGCATTATTTATACTGCTGCACTAGAGGTATTGTCAACTAGACTTGTTTGGAGCTCAATTGGGACTCTACAGCTCTTTCATCTCTTTGATTATGTGTCATTTGACTTTTAGCGATGGCATTTTCCCCATGACAGCCTGTCCTTAACCTGGTATTCCAATGATGCACTCTTGCCACTATTTTAATATACTGTTTATGAAATCAGTATGTCACCCCTTGACCACGTCAGCTTTATAGTTATGGGGTTTACAATGGTTTTCTTTTTTAACGACTTTATTAGATCTGCGAACTTTTTATTCTATAATTTATGAGATTGTTAAAAAGCCTTGCTTGCTTCATGCAGTTTTATTTAATGCTGCCAACATTTGCCAGTGTTTTTAATCTATCTTCTCAAGGACAATTCTCCACTAGATAAGGAATGGGTTATATCTACTTGTGACATTGGGTACCATCTGGAAGAAATTGGAAGTGCACATGGAAAGGGGAAAGAAGACAATTTCAACATCACTAATGTATTTAATCAGAATCACATTTTTTATGGAGGGAAATTAATTTTCTCAATTTTAGTTAATTTAACCAAAGCTGAACTGTTTTCATCATCTCACATTTTGAATGTGTACCCTGCTGTTTAACAGAATCTGATAGATTCTAGACAGTGAAAAACATAGCATAAAAACAAATCTAAGATAATAAAAACAATTACTGTAATATAAATTGTAAAAGGTGCTTGTATATGATAGCTTTTACTTTTTTCACATATCTCATTTCTTTTAAAGAAATCCTGCTGGAGACTCAATTAATGCATCCCTTTTTCTTTATGTCTTACTTAATACAGTAAATGTAACTTATTTCTCTAGGTACAATCAAACAAGAAATGTTGGAAGATGTGCAAAATAAATTAATGAACCTCATAAATAGTACTGAAGGAAAAGTAGATAAGTGAGTATTTGTTTTTCCACATTGTATTTTACTTGTAAATTTAAATTCTTTACTTTGAGAGCCAGCACAAGTTTGTTAAAATAAAACAGAACTAATTTTTAAATGGTCTTTAAATATTATACATTATTAAATACATTATTCAATATGTCCAATTAATTAAAGTGCTCTTAATGGGAGGGGTGACAATAATTTAAACAGGAAAACAGAGGACATTTTCCTTCAATGTAATGTTTTACTAATAGGGAAAATTTAAGAAAGTTAACTATAAATAGTTTGATTAGTTGAAGAAATAAAACACTGCAGCTTTAATTAATACAGAGGATTTTAAAATTAGCTGTATTTTATTTCTGCGGTCTTGTGCTGGTTCTCAGAATAGAACTTTTGTGATTTCTGGCTTATTAGTGGCATATGCTAATCCTGTCATGATCTTTTAAGGATCATTCTCTTGGAAAGTTATTTAGCATTAAATATATTAGTTTAACTTTTTGTTATCTGGATCAGATTATTTGGACATATGTTATTTTCTTCCATAATGACTACTTTTACATAAACTTGATTAACTGACAAAAATCAATCAGCAAAATAATTGGGTGTCATTACTAGTACTCATGATTACATGTTACTCTGCAATACCACAGTGATGATGTCTGTATTAAGATGGTTGAGAAAGCACAGGGCACACATCATCAATTCTAGGGTGTTGGGTTCCTACATAATTTTCATATCAAATGTGATGTTTGTTACTAGTAAATATATGCAAAGCTCTGCATGGAAGTCCATGAAAGCTGTTAATTTTAGTGGAAGTGGGATAAACTTGCTTTTTCTTCACATATTTTCCCTCAGTCTAATACATTATCAGTGGCACAGAAAAGATGAGTTAAGCTTAGAGTATAATCTTATGACACAAAGCAGGCTTTTCTATCACAAAGTCAATTGCATATGAATAATTTCCTCTTGAAATAATGTGCATCATATAGGCTACAGTATACAAGAAGGAAAGAATAGCATATGCACTGCTTCAGTTCTGTGCTTGACACAGAATAGGAGAATACATAATCTTCATCCTTCATTCCCAATCAGGGTCAAAATTGCTTTCAAATAAATCCACGTTCTAATCTCTTATTTAGAAATCCTTTCCATTCCCTTTCTCTCCTCTCCTCTTAAACTGCCTCCACATTATAACTTGTATTCCTTGTTATTTAAAAATAGCATTAGGAGAGAGATACACAATCATGGCAAAATACATATTGTATACGCCCCCCACTTCTTTTCTCAGAATTAAGCCATTTTTAGTTATATTTGTTTTATCTTCATTTTAATAGAGTCTTGATGCGAAATCTTTTCATTGGGCATTTTCATACTCCAAAGAATAAGCGTCATGAGGTACTAAAGCTAATGGGAAGTATCCTTGGAATAAAAAAGGATGAACTGGAGCAGGTAATTTTTATCTCTTTTTTGTTTTTTGTATTTAAATATCAATAATCTATTATTCTTATTTAAATGCTGGGCTAAACCTGATGAATCCATTACCACACATTTTCAATTTAATCATTAGTGAGAAGAAGAAAAAAGTACTTTGAGACAAAAGATCTTCCACTTTCTAGCTGTAGATCCTGATAAGAATGGGAGAACAACAGCTAAGTATTCTATATGGGAGAGTAGATTTTGCAATCTAAAGCAATGTAGTATTTAAGCATGAATTGTTTTTTCTAGTAAATAATGAAAAAGAAAAGTCTGATACTCTACTTGAAAAATAGCCAGTTTGAACTTTTCCTTTTGATTTAAATTGCTCTTTAGTTGCTGACTGAAGATCACAAAGGTGTTACAAAATGGGTGACAGGTTGGTTTGGCGGAAGAGCTGCTGAATCCAAAAGTGTCCCCAACACACCTCTCAGACCAAGCCAACAATCAATTTTCAACAGTGTAAGTGTGTTAAGTGATTCCTTTATAGAAAATGTAGAACATTTTATGTTGTAAAAGCTGGTGTTTGAGCCATTACACTTAGATTTTTAAGGGTTGAAGGTCTATGTTGATATTTTTATTTTTCTATTTCAAATCAACTTATTTTCAACTTATTCACTTTTTGCAGTCTTTCTCCTGTTTAGTTGTTTTTTCTTTGGGGAAAAATACATTGCTGATAATTTTTTGTTATATACAATTCATTCAGATTTTGCTCAAGAACTTCCTTCTTAATGTCTGTTGGTTTTTATTTTTATTTTTGTAAAAATGAGAATCTCAACTGGTTTTGATTTTCTGTTCATAGGCTCTGGAATCATGTGGAATTAAATTGAAATATTATTCCCAAAATAATATACTTTTAGAATTGGTGATATTTGTAGGTTAACTGAAAATCTGGTAAGAGACTCAAGTATTGAATAGAGGGGGAATATCATAAACTCAGGTTATCATCCTTTCAAATGAATATACTGATAGACAATTTGATAAATTAAGGATATTTTTTGGGCATTGGCCTTCAGATGATCCAAGAACTTGATTGATACCTAGGAATCAGCTACCAAGTTGTCAACATTTTAGTGAAGGTGTCAAATTCTTAATCAACTCATCTTGAATTGATAAGTGAAACATATCATGTCTTTCCTAAACTGTTTGCAGTACTTTAATTGCGATCATCTTTTCAGTCTTTCTCAGAACTGTTTGTGAAGTTCCTTGAAACAGAATCACGCCCAACTCTCCCCCCACCAACACTTTCTCTTGATAACATGAAGCCTTTAGGAATGGCTAATCCTTCCAGCAATGTGGCAGGTAATGTCTCCCATTTTCATAAATGTTATATTATATTGAATTTTATAATGTTTATTGGATTTTCAAGACTGTATTTATATAAATGGTTGCAGAGCATAAGGGGAAAGGTGGGTAGATTTAGACATGCTAATATGGCAATTTTTTATACCTGTACTTAGTCTGTTACCAGCTTATAGAATCATCTCATAACAACAAATCAATGATTATAAATGGATTTTCTGATTCTTTAATATTTTTATTACAGTATCATGAATTACGATCTGCATTTCAAAGGCAGCAAAATAATACATGGGGTATTGAATATGGTTTTTGAAGTGACATTAAAAGTTTGTCCCTATAAAAGGAACATTGCTTGCTGCAGAGTTGCTAAAGTTTAGCCCTTGTGAATGTTGGCTTTAAATTACTGTAGTAAACTTGAAAGATTTCCAGTCTGAAACCTTATCTTGAAAGTTTGTGTTTTCAGTCATTTATGTTTTATATTCCTTTTGTTCTCTTGTTACTGTTAGTATAATAGTGAAAGTGCCCTCTTTTGCTTGGCAATCACCCAGTTTTCTTGTCTGGCTAAATCTTTGAAAAGACAAGTTCTATTCCAGGAATTGGATTGTTGCCTTATAGAACCAGACATATACTCTCTACCCCTTAATTGTTTGGATAATGGATTGCTTTTTATATTAACAGTAGATTGGCAGCCACAAATACATTTCTCATATCAATTTCTATGAATGGAAGGTTTGTGACTGGTGTTTGTGAATTCTGTTTGTTTTAAGGAAAACAATGTGTCTGTTCAGATTTTTTGGAGAAAGCAAAGCTAAAGGCCTCAGTGGTAAACCTGGGTATACAGGACTCAGAGTGAAAACAAATGAACTTGCCTGTAAAATACCATATATACATTGTGTATTAAGATTTCACTTCTCATCCAAGAAGTTTCTTCAGTTCTGAAGAAGTGAAACGTCTTCAAAGAAAAACCAGAAAGTCCAGTTGCTGCTTCAAAAAGCACCTTTGGAACAATAAATAAATTATTGCACTTTGAGACTGGAAAACTGACTTGGTTTCATTGGTAGGGCATTTGGACCAGAAAATGGACAGGGAGAATGCAACATAAAAAACCCCTCTGATTGTTTTGGATCTCTTAATGGCATTGTGTAATAAATAATTTTGATATGAAAATGTGCTGATTCCAGAAACATAAATGACTAGTTTCAAAAAATCTAGAGAAACAAGGATTCAGACAGAAGTCCAAAATTAAATTGTTGGCCAATGTAAGTCTCGTGTTAACTATCAGCATCATTACACATTCAATTTTTCATCAATTTCATAGTGATAGAATAACCAGAAGCGTGTAACATTATCTTTACATTTTTTACCAGGTCTCAGCATTACAGTTACAATTCATTTTCATAGTGAAATTTTATAGGATTATATTTTTAATGATACTTTTGTTGTTAATTCACTTTTTTTAATTCACGTTTTCATTATTCATTATTCATTTTCTGTATTTCATTTAGTTATATGCTTCAAATAGCTGCAAAAAATGGGAAAAAATTACTTTATTATGGATTTGCCTGTATATGTGTATGAAGTGTACATTGTTTTTGACCCTCATATTTTTAGTGCTTGGAAAATCTTTAAAGGTGTTTCTTCTTTCCCCCCCCCCCCCAGTTAATTTATTGTAAAATTTATAATTTCATGTGTTATCATTTTGCATTTATTTCTTTATATTTTGCATACCATTCTCAATACTCAAACGGAAATGTGAGATATAAACTAAATAAATAATAATGTGTTATTAATGTCCACATGTAAAATCTTTAGAAATGAATAATCATTTCTAAAGATTTAACATGTAGACATTAATGACACATTATTATTTATTTAGTTTATATCTCAACATACGGTCTTGGGGTAGATAAAAGAACAGCATATGGAGTTGTAAACAGAAAACATAACAATTGTGAAGAATGTCTTGTTGTTGAATAATTAATTGCATTACTGTGTTTTGTCTTAAATGCAACAGGCTCAGGAGCCAGTCGAAGACCAGATGTAAATCCATTCCTTGCGCCTCGATCAGCAGCAGTCCCACTCCTCTCTCCAGCTAATCTTGGAACAAGCGGATCTGGGCATCTGCTTATGAAACCCATTTCAGATGCCTTGCCTACCTTCACCCCAATGCCAGTAGCACTCGATGCTAGTGCAGGTGCAGTCTTAAAAGACCTATTAAAGCAATAGACTTGGATGGATTGAAGAGGAAAGCACTTTAAACATACTATACTGTATTGAACACAAAGAGGCCTTTTGTAAAAAGTTGTTAATTTTCAGTAACTCTAAAAGTAAACCATTGTACAGATAAAAACAAAAAAGTATTGGTGATCTAAACCTTTTATTCATAATTCTTCAACTATGCAACACCAGTTTCTACATACTGCTGTCAGTCTAATCACACTTTTTCCCCTTTCCCCTTCCTCAATAGGCATCTGCTATTCGTGTTATTTTAGTGTGTCTTTATGTATAAATCCAGTTTGATGGTGATAGAAATAAATGTTCTCCAAACCCATCTGGTTTAGTAAAATACCACTGTAGCTATTTCCTCTCACACCTTAGAGGGCTTGCAATGATTAGGCAGGAACTATGTTCTGTTGTGTGTGACATCCCAATTCAGTCAGATTCTGATCTAATCTGGAGCAGAATTCTGTCAAATGAGGAACTGCATATTATCCAATTAAAGTATCAATCTGGAATATTTTGTGATCAGAATTGGATCAAAAGAAATGATAAAGGAAAATGAATCAACTGATCAAGTGTATTTGGGGAGCATAAAATATTAAAAACAAGATCACATAGTGTCATCTCTCGATGGTTAAGAGATACTTGGCTGAGATAGAGCATATACATTAGGAGGGGTTAGCTTTGTCTTCATTCTCTCTATGTCTCTCTCTCTCTCTCTCTCTCTGTTTCTCTCTCTCCTCTCTCTCACACACATACCACTCTTGAACTCTGACATAATTGGTTGTAGAAAAAAAATGCTTTCTTAAAGTTCCGTAAGAACTATAAATGCCATTCTTTATTTTTTGTGCAAAATGCTTTTGAATTCTTATTTATGAGTTACCCTTTCCAAACTAAATAGTGGTTGACCACTATTTAGAAACCTGATATATAAATTCATGGTGTAAGAATGTTTAACATAAAGTACTGTAATGAGTTAAATGTATATTTAAGAGATAATCATTTATATTCGTAAGTTTCAGTGAGAATTTAAGTATGAATATATGTATAAAGCTGCAATGAAGGGTGATGCTTAATCCAAATATGTAAATAAGTCCAAATAAGAACAAATAGATTTCTGCAAAACTATCTGTACAGACTTGTTCTTTCCCTTTTGGAGTAATTATTTGAGACCCATCACATTTTTACTAAGTGTCTTTTTCCCATAAAACTATTTATGGCATTATTCTTATGATTAGGATTAAACAATTTTTTTACATCAAGTCCAGTTAGTTATTCTTGCTGTCAAATGGCGTATATCAACAGAAGAGGGTTGTGTCCCTCCCCTTCCTCAAACAATCCCCTTATGTTTCAAAATATATAATGGTAGAGTAAATGGGACCAATGTGGGGGGTGGGGGTGGAACAAGGGGAAGGAAGTAGAAAATAATGTTATGTTGAATGAACAAGTTATTTAATAAAACCTTGGATTTGGGGTAGGTGAGTTTTTAAAATTTAGAGCCTTTTTTTCTGCAATGCTTATTTTCTTCTCTGTTGTTTGAATTAATATTTAAGTATAAAGTGAATCATGAAAATGTAGTTAGATGCTTCCAACTGCATCCAAATGCATTAGATGCTCCCAAATGCATGGAAAAAGCCTTTTGTCTTTATTTAGAATTCCACATCCGTACAAATTTGCCAATGTTTCAAAAGTGGCTATTAATAATTGTTTGGGGTTTTTTTTTACTTCATTTTCTTAAGAAAAGTTTTCATTGTTTCTGTTTTTTATACATTGGAAGAAGATGTTTTATTCAAAACAGAAAATGAGGAATGGATTGTGGTTTAGGAACTTTATATCAATTTCTGGAAAGTTAATTCTCAATATTAATTCATAAGCAATTTTTACTATAGCTATACATTTTTCCAATAGATTTCAAAGATATTTTATATATCTATATTCTTTTGCATACATTTTTATATCAACGTTTTTAGTATAAGATTGTTTATTGCTTATGAATGTAACTGATGGTACCTAAGAACAAGTAGAAGCTGCATTTATATACTAGTTCTTTTATTGAGAACTCTGTACATTTCATATTTATGCATTGCAGATGCATTAATATGGGTACAAATTCAGGTTGTTGGGATATTACCATTCCTATTTAATCTTTAAATAAAACCCATAAACCTTAGCATTGTCAAGAAGGAGATGAAAGCTTCTTTACAATAGTCCAAAAACTAATTTGCAGAATTGCTAACATAAATTGAATGATTTATGAGATTGAAACACTTATCTTTTGCACGCAATTTAGTTCATACAGTCCTTTATTACATATAATCCAACTTGTTGCCCAATAGCTTGTAAGAAAATATTATTTAGAAGCATTAAATAAAAATACTAAAATAAGATTGTGGTTATATTAAAGATAAATTTTCTTGTCTTTTCCTGAAATAATGCTTTTTTATCATGAAAATACAGGACTTGGTATCATTAGATCAGACCTTTGCAATCCTAATTCTAGTATTTTCATTTTGCTTTGAAGAAATTCTAGACATGCAAACTTATGTCTGATTGTGGCTCAACACTACTACAAAATAATGTTCATTCTAATTGAAAATGATACAGATGGATGACTTTCTGGATTCATATTTGTGAGTGTTTAAATACCTATCCATACATAAATATTTGGATTTAAATTTAGGAGCATATCCATAGGAAATGAATGTATGGTAATACATAAATATATCTATAGATATAACCTCATGAATGGTACTTTATCATTATGGTAATACACACAGATATACAAATGATTACATAAAGGATGTGCTTTCAGAGTGGTTTCAGTGAATTTTGTTTTGTTCTTTTGTTAACAATAACATTAAAACAGTTTAGGAACTTAAATCTAAAGGGCAGACAGATGATATTAGGAAATTAATACTACGGGGCTGTAGTGTACATCCATATTTGATATTTGACAATAATTATTTTAAATTAATGATTAAGTTACAGATATTTGTTTATAAAGTCACTTCTTGCAGTTACTGTAAATTAAGAGTGTTTTAAATAAAAGTGTTTAAATATAACAGTGTTTTAAATAAAAAATAGGTCAATTTTTTCTTTTCATTATGCCTAACTATCTTAACTATGATATACTTATTTTTTTTTAGTTGGGTATTTTGTCACTAAGTCGGTTTTCCTAATACTCCATCCTTCATATGGAACAAATATCCTTGTTTGAAAGTGTCCCAAAAGATGCAACTAGAAGGGCTGAGGATGGGTCCAAAATGCTAAACTGTTTTAAAAATATGAAATTGCTTGAAAGCAAAATAACTGAGATTCATATTGGAGGAGGTTTGAGATTAATATTTCTTGATAACAGAATAAAATAATGATTTGCTCGTGTGCTTTCAACGTTCCTATATTTCCAACAAAAATATCTTGTTGAGTTCTCTATTATTTAGTCTCAATTTTTGGTGTTGTTTAGCTGCTGTATATTACATTAATTGCGTTTATCTGCATGTAAAGAAGGATGCCATGTTTTGGCTATAAAAATGTCATTTTATAACTTCAAAATCAATGAATACAGCATAAGACATGGGTAGTAAATGGTACTCAGTCCCTTGGGGTATTCCTAGGTATTTCTATTCATATGTAACAAAGACACCATATTGGGAATGAAAATGTGACAACTGAACGATAGCCTCTTAGCAATGTTACTATTATTGTAATCCTCATGCTTAGTTAACAATGAATCTACCAAATAATTAGTACATTCATTCAATTTGCTATCCAGTAGTCTATGATTTACAAATTACTCTGGTTGGATTTATGCATTACACTAAGCTACAAACAAAGCAGTTTGATTTTGTATGTTATGTGAACCTGGTCAAACTCAAAAGTGGGGAAATAAAGGAGAAATTAGTTATCCACCAAGGATAGAAAACATCCAATTTCCTTCCAACCTTATGATTTTATGGTAATGATCAGAAAATCAGGAGAATTATAATGGAATTATAGTCACTTTACTTTCAGATAATAAACAGTGGTCTGTACTTATTGCAGGAATCAAGACAAAGTTAAATTAAACTGTACATGTGGCTTTTAAGTGTGCCTTTAAAGGTGAGATTGTTTGAATGTGTTACAAAACAGTTGCACTAAGCAGCTGAAATCCAATTAGTGTCAAATGATAGGTTAGTCCAGTGATTCCCAAACTTTTTCAGTCCGTCACCCACTTGGTGCTACAAACTTATCCTCAGTACCCCCCACCCACCCTGGTTGCTCCCTCCACTCCTGCTCCTAGGAGGCAAGGCCCAGCAGCTGTGGAGAATCCAGGTGGGACCCAAGCAGCAACGGGTCAGCCCTGGCTTGCCTTCCTCTCGACCACCAGTAAGCCAGGCCAAGTGGGGTGGGGGGGGGAAGCTGAATTGCGCCCTGCGAGGGGCCCACTTCCAGCACTCCTCTGCCACCTCCCTTGCCTCTTAGTGCCCCCCCTAAGTCATCCCACTGCCCCCCAGGAAGAGGTACCACCCACTTTGGGAACCACTACGTTAGTCCTATCATTTGATCTCATTTCATTTTTTTTATGGTTTGGAATGATTTATATGACTAAATGTTAGCATTACCTAACATTGCCTATTTATATTTCGCATCTTC